GAATAGTGAGTCCGAAAATACGTGACCAATTGATTTTCAGCAAAGGTGCCAAGATAACTCAGTGGAAGAAAGATTAGCCTTTTAAACAAATGGTGCTAAAACAACTGCATAGTTATATGGAAGAAAATGATCCTTGGTACTTACTTCATATAAACAAAAAATTTACTTACATATAACAGCTAGAACTATAGAATGCCTAGAAGAAAATCTTCACAAACTGGAGGCAGACAGTGATTCCTAACAGGACACAATAAACAATGAACATAAAAGGGAAAATTGATAAATTGCACTCAAGCAAAATTCAAAACTTCTGCTTTTTGAAAGACACTGTAAGAAAATGAAAAGGCAAGCCGTGACCTAGGACAAAATTTTTGTCAAATACATATTTGACAAAGATCTTATATCCTGAATATATAAAGAACTCTTATAACTCAAAAGTAAGAAGATAAACAACCCAATAAAAAATAGAACACAGATTTGAGTAAACATTTGACAAAAGAAGGTACGTGAATGGCCAATGAGTATATAAAAAGGTACTCAACATCGTCAGTCATCAGGGACATGCAAATTAAAACTACGATGAGATACCACTCCACAAACACCAGACAGTTTAAATTAAATAGACTGGTAATAGTGTTGATAAGGATGTGGAGCCATTAGAACCCTCATACACTCCTGTTGAGAGTGTAAAATGGTTCAATCACTTTAGAAAACAGTTTGGTAGTTTCTTATAAAGTTAAACATACACCCACCCTATTACCACCAATTCTACTCTTAGGTATTTACCAAAAAGAAATAAAAAAACATGTCCACACAAAGACTTGTACATGAATGTTCATAGTAGCTTTATTTAAAAATGCTCATCAATAGGTGAATGGATAAACAAATTACAGTATATCAATACAATAAAATACTACTTAGCAAAAGGAAAAAATACTGATGCATACAACAATATCCTGCTGAGTGAAAAAAGCTAGACACTAAAGAATATATGCTGTATGATTAGATTTCTGTAACATTCTAGTACGGTTTAGGCAAAAATGATTGATAATGACAGAAAAGAGCTGTGATAGACTAAGGCTGGGGTTTAGGAAACGGACAGTAACAGATGGGAACTCTTTGCACTGGGGATGGTTGTTTAATGTGTATCTAAACCAAAACCAAACTCATTGCCATCGAGTCGATTCCAACTCATAGCGACCCAATAGGGCATAGAGTTTCCAAGGAGCCCCATAGAGTTTCCAAGGAGCGGCTGGTGGATTTGAACCACCGACCTTTTGGTTAGCAGCCAGTCTCTTAACTACATTTGTTAAACTCACGGAACTGCTCACTTAAGATGCCTTCATATGATGGCACGTAAATTATACACCAGTAAAGTTGATTATAAATGTAAAAACAAAACAAAACCAAACCAGTTGTTATGAAAAGAAACAATCAGAGAATAGGAAAGTTCTCTTAGAAATTTAAAACATGATAACCTGCAAGTATAAAAATTTAGTAGATTTGGAAGATAAAGCATAAGAACTTTTGCAGAAAGCAGAATGGATAAAGAAATGGAAATAGAGGAACAACTGAGGAAGTCCAAGATTCAACCAAGAGGAATAATAGGAAGAGCAGAGAAAACAGAAAGGATGAAAATAGCAGAATATTATATTAAAAAATTTTCTAGAATTGGGGGGCACAGACCTTTAGATTGAAAGGAAGCATTGTATGCCATGAACAATGAATGAAAACTCAACTAAGCCTCACAATTGTGAATTTGAGATCACCAGGGATAAAAAGATTTGAAAAGGTTCCACAGGGAAATAAAAGGTCACATGCAAAGGGACGGAATCAGAATGCTATTAAAATACTCAATAGCAATCAGATGCTAGAAGACATTAGAGAAATAGCTACAAAATGCTAAGAGAAAATTATTTTCAACTTAAAAAACTATATACAGCCAAATTATAAGTCAAATGTGAGGGTAAAGAAGACATTCAAGACGTGTGAGGACTAGGGATTTGATCCACTCTTTTCCAGCTCCTTTTCTTTAGGGTGACTGCGTTGGCCACCTGAGGAGTGTGGCCAATTTTCCCAGTTGTTCCCAATCTTATTGCTTCTAATATAAATACTTTAACCAGTTTAAGACTATTTAACACTAGGAATTGTAGGAAAATGCCTGTAACTTGTTTCTAAGCAATGTGGTGATATCGCTGGTTGCTGTCCAGTTGATTCTGACTTATGGCCACCCCATGTCTGCAGAGTAGAACTGCTCCATAGAGTTTTCAAGGTTGTGACCTTTCAGAAGCAGATCATCAAACCTGTCTTCCGAGTCAGCAATAGGTGGATTTGAACCACCAACCATTCAGAAAGTAGTCAAGTGCTTAACCATTTGTGCCACCCAGGGACTCCTTTCTAGCTAATAGATACGACAAAAGTGATGGAATGACATACTTGTGATTATATTACTTTATATAAGTCTCCATCTGGCTAGCAGACACACCCTAAAGATTCTCTCTGCTTGCTTGAAGAAGTAAACAGCCATGTTGAGGAAGCCCATGCAGCCTCTAGTAACCGTAGGCGGCCTCTGGAGCTGAGGTCGACTTCCAGTCTCTAGCCCATAAGGGCGCTCAGTCCCACAGACACAAGGAAATGAATTCTGCCAACACCTTGATTGCATCCTTGTGAGACCCTGAGAAGAGGACCCCACTAAGCCATGTCCAAACTCCTGACCCATAGTAACTGTGGGATAATAAACGTGTATTGTTTGTAGCCACTAAATTTGTAGTAATTTATGTTGTTGTTGTTAGTTGCGGTCGAGTCAGTTCCAGTTCATGGTGACCACATATGTTACAGAGTAGAACTGCTCCACAGTGTTTTCTTGGCTGTAATCTTAATGGAAGAAGACCACTAGGCTTTTTCTTCTATGGTACTTGCTGGGTGGGGTGAAACTGCCAACCTTTCAGTTAGTAGTCCAGTGCAAACCATTTACCCCACCTAAGGACCTAATTTGTTAGTATCAATAGAAAACTTGTACCAAATCCAAACCCATTGCTGTTGAGTTGACTCTGACTCATAGCGACCCTACAGGGCAGAGTACAACTCCCTCATAGGGTTTCCAAGGCTATAAATCTTTACGGAAGCGGACTGCCACATCTTTCTCCCTTGGAGGGACTGATGGGTTCGAACTGCTGACCTGTCATTTAGCAGCTGAGCACTTTAACCACTGCGCCACCAGGGCACCTTGAAAACTTATATGAATGTTAGTTCCTTTGAAATGTTAAGTGAGCTTAGGGCAAATGTCTAATAGCCCTCTTTTTGACCATCCTCTTGGTTCTGGACTGTTTAACCCTTGCTCCACCTCATCTGGGTTGTTATAAAACCAAATGCTTAGGTATTAATCTGAGTTAGATTCTGATTGGCCTTGTCAGCAGTCTCAGGATGATTCTTGCTTTCTAAGATAGAGAGCTGCAGATTTTTCTGCCCAACATCCATTTGTCCCTTCTTTAGTCACCGCATTAACTTCTTTTGGGAAAGGGTCTCTTCCATCTTCCAATCACAATATGCTACACTCCTGCCACAGAGCAGGCACATAAACCAGGCCTGCTCACTAATTGGCCCAACTGGAATCCTTTTAGCTGCATTGTAATATGTGGGCATTGGGTGAGAGATCTTTTTCCTTTGCAGTCACTCAGCAGGTGTGATGTAAGCCTGTGGCTGTGCCTTTGGAGAAAGTCTGTGTGCAATAGGAAAGAATGTGGTTAACACAAAGAGGCAGAGTTTAGAACTTGAGACATTGAGTCCCTGAGGACTGCTCCAACCCCAGACTTCCCACTTATGTAAGCCAGTATGAATCAAGTTTTTGTGACTTTCAACTAGAGTCCAGACTTATATAGTATCTTCTAGACTCTGCTTCTTAATCTATTTATAGGTGGCCCCTAAGTCATTTCCTCTGGTCCCTGAGTGAGAAAAGTATGACTAAAGTCAGTGATGGACTTCAGACAATCCCGCGCTGACTTTGTAAGGGCATTTCTAACCACCCCTCACCAAGTTTCTATAGTTCTAATCTCCCGAGTCCTCCCTCTTCTCCCAGTTAGTATCTCTGTTGGAAACATATTTACTGAACTGTTGTTAGGGTAGGTTCTACCTTTAGATGAAATTTGGCTACTCCATTTAGTTTTGTAAAATTTGTATCTGTGTTTCTGTCACCATCTTGTCACAGCAACCAAAATAGGATAGATTTTTTAATCTCTTGAAATTTTACTTTATAGATTTCATATAAATATTCCATAAAAATTATTAAAATTCACTTTTTTTAAACCTACTTTTCAATAGCATATAAAGAGGTATTTAAAAAAAAAAAACTTTCAATTAGTCCTAAGAAAACTTTTTTAACTCTGAAGGTAAATTTAAGGAGTATAAATATTAACATTTATGTATATCCCGTTTGGATCCAAAACAAATTTAAGGTGGTCCAAACATTTAACATGAAGTAAGTAGTATTTCATAATAATCAGTGTTCATTTATGTGTGATGAAACTTAATATTACTTAATGTGTTTCTCTTAAAGCTGCAGTGATTAAGTGCTTGGCTGCCAACCGAAAGTTTGGTGGTTCAAACCTACTAACTGCTTTGCAGAAGAAAAATGTGGCAGTCTGTAATGTTTACAGCCTTGAAAACACTATGGGGCAGTTCTATCCTGTCCTATAGGGTCGCTATGAGTCAGAATCGACTCTATAGTAATGGGTTTTTGGGTTTCTCTTAAGCTGGAAGTACTACGTTACTCTCATAATTTAGTACAATATTACTATTTTTTTCTGATTTTTCAATTATATACAGATATAGATCACAGAAATAAATTCAGTTTTAGGAGTAATATAAGTTTGCCTCAAACAAATTTGGAGACAGACGATAAATAGTAAAACTGTGTTTAAGAAAATACCAGTTTTACAACTGCAACTAAATAAAATAGCACTTTCACAACTGCAACTAAATTGTGTAAATAGAAAGCTAGCCCCACTAGGTGAAAGATATATTCAGCAACACCATACTGTAAACATTGTTTTGAAGATATGCAATGTGTCGTTCAGATTTAATTCAGATAAATGAATCATTGCATGCCAGTATTTAAGGAAGGAGAATGCTTAAATGAAACAACAAGCAATATTTACTTAGTATAAAATGCCCTTAAAGTTTATTTACATATATATAAAAGTGTATGTAAAAGGAAATTCATTGAAATGAAAACACAATCAACGCTTTAGGAAAAGTATGCATTAAAAAATGCATTGCTTTTTTCAGATAGTGAAAATATTGATATATTCGTACTGGATTACCTTACACTGTTAAAACTGTTAGAGAAATATTTTAAGCAACAAAAAAAACTGTTGGAGGAAATACACAATAGAGAAGATTGAAGGTATCAATACATGTCACACATGTTCCAAAATGACCACACAGGCAGAATGTATGAAAGAATCTGAATTTTAAAAAATTAGAGAAATGCTAGACATTCCTTAAATAGCATAAATGTCATATACAACATTTCAAATCAAACAAATAACTAATAAAATTTGTAACTCACACCTGATTAAAACAAAAACAGTATGCATAGGAAACTGAATTTTTGTTAAGTATTGGAAAATCTTTTATTTATTTAATTTTGGTGGAAATATACACAGCAAAACACACATCCATTCATCAGTTTTCTACATGTACAATTCAATAACACTGGTTATATTCTTCACGCTGTGTCACCATTCTCACTAGCTCTACCCATACTGTTTCACCACCATTGGCTTAGACTCACTACCTGCTAACCTTCTTATCTATGCTTTAGAGTTACTGTTGACAATTTGATTGCATACAGACAATTGTCTAAAAGAGAGCAATGTTCATGTCAAATATTCATTACTAATTTAGCTAAACAGTTATTTAGTTTAAGGACAACTTCAGGGGATAATCTCAGTTCATGGCTTGAAGCTCTTCTCAGAATGATAGATTTGGGGGTTCCTCCAGTCTCAATAGGTCCTAATACTGTTTTTAGAACTACTGTTCCACTCCCTAATTTGGTAAGTAGTGTCTGGGGTCTTAAAAGCTTGCCAGTGGCATTCAAGGTACAATTGGTCTCTATTTGCCTGGAGCAGCAGAGGAAGGAGACCCAAGAAATGGAGAAGGGACTGGACTGCAGGTCTAACTGTCTCCATGAACTACTGCCTCCTTAGCCATGAGACCAGGTGCCCGACTACCATTCCTGAACGTTCTGATCAAGGAATCAATAGATGAATCCTGATCAAAAGGGGAAAAGATTGTGGAACAGAATTTCAAATTCTTAGAGAATCCACACTTACTGGAACTAGCAAATCTTTTAGCATTAAAAAATTCTCTTGTACATATAGGAAAAGTATACACACACATAAATTTTCTGAGAAATAGAAAAAAATGATTAGAATTTTAGAAGCAAACAGGAAACTTAAGGCATGGAGGACACCGTTGTTCTAGAGTTTGTAATTGATCTGAGAGGCTACACCCCTATGTATTCACTCGGAGGGCAATTATTGAGATACTCAAATACTTGCCACAGTCACAGAGTCTGTGTTATCTTTATGATTTTTTTTTTCTTTTTGAAAAGAGAATATTCCATGTATAATTATCTATCCTCCTGAAGCTATAACTTATAAATGTCCAGTCTCCTTTTGATACCCATATTCCATTCATTTTCTGATTTTATTAGAAGTGAAAACTAATCTAAATATATAGCAAACCTTGTGTCAAAATAGATTTAATGGTTAACACTAATCAATTGCCTGGGTAAGAAGCACAAACAAACCAGATCAAACAAAACCAAAAACCCACCAAAAGTACTATGAAACCAAAAATCCACCAAAAGCACAACAGGAAGAGAAAAAAAATGAGATAGAAATATATAACGATGATTTTAGATTGTGACATTTTCCTTTTAATCAATATAAGCATTTGTCAATTATGGTTATATCACATTTTCTCTTTTATACTTGGTGTATCATGAACTTGACATTGGATGCTCTATAAATACCAGTGATTCTACAATCTTCAGAATGAATTCTAGATTCATTCAAGCTAGAGCAACAGTGTTACACTAAATGATGGCAGATGACACATTTAGGCTGCTGTGAGGGGGTTTGTGTCACAGGTTCCGAAGCTAGCTTCACAATTAGGCCTTTGGGAGTTAATGGGGATAAATGAGTTCAGGGGATTTTTCAAATTATGATTCTGTAAAAGATTATCAACGTCTTATATTTCTGTTAGCCTTCAGAAATAGATATAGATATGGATATGACAAATGTTTATAAATTTCCCTCACAAAGTTAGAATTAAGTGATAACATCCCCAGATTTCATAATTTCAGACAGCATCATTCTATAGGCATGAGATGGAACTGGAAAAAAGTGTGCTCGCTCATTCTAAACCCAGTTCTCACCAACCTGGTAGATTGTAGGCAAGTTATCATTCCATGTCTTAATCTGATTATTACAACGTGAGCAAGGTGGAGTTTGCCTCTGACCTTTTAGGGAGGATTAAAGTAAGTGCCAAGTGCAAAGTTACATGAGAAAAAGTGCCTATGTAAAGTCAAGGAAGGTTTAATAGCAGAATTTTTATAGGTACTGTGGGTGGCTTTAAACAAACCACTTTTCCTAATTAAATCTACATGTTGCTAGATGACTTACTTGCGATAAGCAACTACAGAGAGTCTGATAATCTTTGGTCGTCTCTAATGATTAAGATCTTACTTTTATCTGCCTTAAGACTGTGCTGTCTTAAGCATATCACACATGCATTGTAATATGATTTATACTTCCTAAACACTTAATTTGGAAGGAATAATCAAATCCATGTGGGTTGCAGTCTCACCCCTGTAAAAAATTATAAAACAAAATAAAGTTTTATCAATGATCTTAAATAACAGGAAAATACAATACCTGGCCAAAACATCAAGAACAGAATTTTCTATCCTATTTCTCAAAAGCATGTTCTTTCTTGTCTTCCTTCAAAGTGGAAACAAATTTATATATACACATACACACACATATACACCTACCAACATAACTTGGTGCACACACTCACTTCAGAAGTTTATAGCTTATATTCTATTATATTCTTAAGGAGAGACTGGTCATATATAAGGTTTAAAGAACAAAGTGTGGGTTGAAATGATTATCTAGGATGTTTTTCTTTTGTGTTCAGATATATTAACAGATGCGAGAAGTTGATGGTAAATTTAATCAGTATTATTTTAGTAGCAGAAAATAAAATTATTTTTTCCAGATTCTCAAAGTATTATGTACAGAGTTCAAATAATTTTAAAGATAATTACATGTAGTTATATACAGATAATTTAGCTCTAAAAGATGAGTGACTATGGGCAACTATATCAAGTTCTAGTCACTCTTAGATTTGAGGCTCATTTATTTATTTGCTAGTGTAGCACTCCTTGCAAATCCTTGCCATTGCAACCCTGTACCCTCTGAAGAACTAACTCCATATCAAGTAGTAGCATTTTTTTTTTTTAAAATAAAACTACTAACCCCATTTCCCCATAATGAAATATGACTGATAGCAAGAGTTAACAACTAAAACCTGCAAAGTATGGTAAATGCTATGCCATAATTTAAAATACAAAACCAAATGATTATATTAAGGTCACCAATTTATATTGAAACATCAAATTCTGTGAAGTATTTCCAACCAAAAACAAATCCTAATAAAGACTGAGTCTAATATCATCTCTAGGGATAATCTAATGATGAAAAATTCTTACATTTTTTTCATATTCAACACAAGAAATCTACAACCTTTATCTGTACAAAAGGATACAATCTGTTTACCAGTTCTAACTATGCCATCGATAAAACAGATTTTTTTTGAACCACTGAAACAAACATTACAAAAAGGTGCTTTGTTCTTAACTGCAAGGCAATGGAGTTGAAGTTTCCCATCAAGCTGGTAATGATCAAGTTCAGGTCCAAGATGCAGACAGAACTTCTGTGGTGCAGCACACATGCTTGTTCCTCTTTTGCTCCCTGCAGTTTGTTTTAAAGGGCTGGATTAACATGTCTTTTTTGATTCCAGGAGAACGAACCATTCGAGTAACAAATTTCCTCTACCACCAAGATGGCAAGATGGGCTTAGTGAGATGGGAGTGACATTGATTTCTTAAATACCCTAAACCCTTTTGCTGGTCCAGGATATGGTGGTGGCGGCGAGACAGTGTGTTTTCTGGTCAGGGCCACTGCCTGTTCATAAGAAGGTAATCCTGTGTCCTCCGCAGAAGGTGGCGATGGAGACAAGACAGCTTCCTCAGGTCTTCTGAAAATGATGGAGGGAGTGTGCCTGCCTCTTCTTTCATAGACGGCTGAAGAACTACACAAAGAGATAGTATTTAGGTCTAGGAAAGGCAACATTTTTAGGTTAAGATGGCAATATTAGAAAATCCAGGACTGTTTTGATAAAAGTTGAACTCAATATATTAAGATAACAGTTTATTTTACCCAAAAACTCAGAAAAAGTCTTGGTATAGTGAAAAGATCAAGAGCTTTGAAATCAGACATGGGTTTGAAACCCGACTGTGCCATTTCAGAGTGATGTGGCCAAAGGAAGGACCCTGGGTAGGGCAATAGTTTGTGCTCGACTACTAACCTAAAGGTTGGCGGTTCAAATCTACCAAGCAGAGCTGTGGGAGAAACGCCTGGAGATCTGCTTCCATAAAGATTACAGTCAAGAAAACCCTATGGAGAAGTTCTACTCTGTAACACATGCGGTCACCATGAATAGGAACAGACTCGACAGCAACAGGTTTGGTTTTTTTGATTGGTGGCCAAAGGCAAACTATTATCTAATTTGAGTCCTGGTTTCCCCCTCTCTAAAATGGGGATAATAATAGCTATCTTATCAGCGTTGTTTTGTGTGGATTAAATAAAATGTTATATGCAAACCATCTAGCAGCATCTGGTACGCTAAAATAAGAACTGAAAACATGCCAATTCCCCATTCTCCACCTCTTGAATTAAAACTTTCTGCAAGTACGGTGTGAAACCCAAACCAGGCTCGTTGACAGGCGGCACAGCTCCAAGCTGAGGGAATAGATGGCACAGGGATCACCACAACAGCTGATGCTGGTTTCTCTCCTCTGTTCTCTCCTGCACTCCTGCTGCCCTGTCCATCTTTCCTAAGAAGCACTTTTATTGTGTTATTCTTCTCCTCAAAAGTCTAACCTGCAGTCTACTTTTCACTCCTGAGCCTCCTTTTCAAAGCCTCCTTTATTCTGGCCTCACCTTATTTTTTATAGCTCTCTGCTCTTGCCAAAGCAGCTTCTTTACCCTTTCCTGAATGTGCAATGACTTCTCAGCCTCTGTGATTTTTCACTGTTACTGTTTCCTTTCTCTGAATATGGTCTTCTCCCTCTTCCACTGGTCTTAACCCAATATATATATATTTAATATGGCCGAGTTCAGTCCCTACCAAGGAGCCCTGGTGGCATAATAGTTAAGTGCTCGGTGGCTAACTGAAAGGTCGGTGGTTTGAAGCCACCAGCTGCTCCGCAGGAGAAAAGATCTGGAGATCTGCTCCCATAAAGATTACAGCCTAGGAAACTGTAGGGGGCAATTGTACTCTGTCCTATAGGGTTGACTTGAGGGCACACAACAACGAAAATTCAGTCCCACCATTTTCACAAAACCTTGCCAGCTACACTAACCAGTGAAGGTGGAAATGCAACTTGGGTCTGATGTTTTCAGCCTATGTTTTCTCTTTTCATTTGTAAATTATAAATTAAGCATTATTCAGTTGATCTGTTTAGACTATGAAGTTGGCTTTCAATGAATTATCTAGGCCTAACTTAACGTCATATAGATTTGGCTATGTAAGATAAGATAATTAAAACTCATAGGTTATTCCCAATCTCTAGTCAATATTTACAATATTCTTCCCACAAGAAAGAGTTTACCGAAAACCAAACCCGTTGCCATCAAGTCGATTCTGACTCATAGTGACCCTATAGGTTAGGGCAGATCTGCCCCATACGGTTTCCAAGGAGCGCCTGGTGGATTCAAACTGCTGACCTTTTGGTTAGCATCTGACCTTTTGGTCAGCAGCGGAGCTTTTAACCACTGTGCCACCAAGGCTCCAAGAAAGAGTTTAGCAGACCCAAAATACTATAATCTTTTCGAAAACTAAGTCAGTCAGTTTGCGCTTTAGAATGTCTTTTTCCTTTGGAAGAAATAATGCGATCTGAAGTTGAAGGCAGGGAGAGAAAAATTGCAGAGAGAGAAGAAAAGCAAAAGGTCTGTGTAAATCTAGGAACTGGATAATCAGCCCTTCAATAGTTGAGAGGTGACTGAGAGGATCACAAGTTTACTTAGAGGGCTCAACACAATTCCTCCTCTGTCAGAAATCTGGAATGCATTCAGAGTAGGCAAGTCACTTGCCACATTCATTAGCTTGTGACAGAAAGTTTTATTTGCTTATCATGAACAGGACAGACAGTTTCATTTGAACAAATAAATGTTTCCATGTTGATGTTGAGATTTTAACCTATAGAAATATAATAATTACAGCAAAGTTATTAAATATCCACGTAGTGTTTTTTATACATCCGCATCTTAAATGATTGAAATTAAAAAGTATGCACTAATAACATCTAAAAAAACAGGCAATATGTTATGCTTCTTTTTCTCCACAAAATCTAAGAACTAAGAAATGAAAAGATCTTGTTTTCCATTTCTTGGCATGTTTTTCAGAGAAATGAGGCAAACTTTTCTCACAGTGGTCTTCTTTTTTACTCCTTTCTTTCTCAAATATTGCCTTGCCCTCTGCCACTTCCAGACTTGCAAAATACAGAAAGAGAACAAATAAATCTGCTGGAGAATTTCTTGGGACAATAGATGAAAAGTACTTTAGTAAGTATTTAAAAGTTGATCCTAACATAAGAGAAAGTCTAGTAAACCTAGTTTGAAATGGGGAATTGCTGCTGTGAGGATCAAAGGGAGACAATGGATAGAAAAATGATCTGTGAACTGTAAAACATTCTAGGGTACAAACATCAAGTATGATTAATCTGACTTTTAAAATCCGAGATGTCCAGAGTTTCTTATTTTACAATACCATACACGGAAGGTATGCATGATCATAGCACTACTTTGTTCCCTCTGTCTTTGACTTCTGCTTCTCCTCTCACGCAGGGAAGAAGGTAGGAAATGGTCAGAGACATGGAGTAGGAAGACAGTAGTGGTGCAGAAAAGCAGAAAAGTGAAGAAAAACAGGGGAGAAAAGAGAAGATGTCAGGTGCGAGCACACTGAATAAGAACTGTGCTATCACAGAAGACTGGCAATTCGAATCCACCAGCTGCTCTTTGGAAACCCTATGGGGCAGTTTTACTCTGTCCTATAGGATTGCTACGAGTCGGAATTGACTCAGTGGCAGTGGATTTGTTTTCAGTTTTTATCATAGAATAGACCTCCAACAAAATTATTAAACTTGAGGGTATATATGAAGTTTGTTTTTTTTAAAACAAAAACACTGAATGGGGTAAAAAGAAGGAAAGAATGGGGGTAAAAAGAAGGATAAAAGGCAAGATGAGTCTCCAAAGACAATTTTTGCCTATTCCTTCATTAACCTGTGAGTTTCCAAGACTACCTCAGCTTTTGGAGGAAAACCAGAAAAACAAACCTGTCTCCATCAAGTCAATTCCGACTCATAGCAACCCTACAGGACAGAGTAGAACTGCCCCATAGGGTTTCCAAGGCTGTAATCTTTACGGAGGCTGACTGCCATATCTTTCTCCCACAGAGCAGCTGGTGGGTTCAAACAGCCAACCTTTCAGTTAGCAGCCAAGTGTTTAACCACTGCACCACCAGGGCTACTTTTGTGGAGGAAGCCACACTGAATAAAACCTTAGTCAAAGGTCCTAGAAAATGGAAAGACCTGGCTCTTTTCCTGTCTGTCAAATATGGGAAATTAATAGAGGTCGGTCAGCTTAAAAGATAGTGGCATAAAAAATATTAAATAAATTCTTCCTAATTGTGTCTCACTTCTCAAAATTTTTACTGGATTTACAGAGGTCTTCGACAAATCCTTAGTCCACACTCATAGGTCACATAATGCCTCAGTAAGCTTTTCAGGAATTCCAGCTTGGGGCTAGAATTACAATTAATGTTGTCTCTGTCCTCTGCCCTCTTTGCCGGCTCCTCCTCTTCTTTCCACACCATTACTGCCAACCAAAAAAACCCAAATTCATTGCCATGGAGTTGATTTCACTAATAGTGACCCTATAGGACAGAGTAGAACTGCCCCATAGGGCTTCCAAGGAGCATCTGGTGGATTCGAACTGCCAACCTTTTGATTAGCAGCTGAGCTCTCAACTACTGCACCACCAGGTGCCTTACTGCCAAATTCTTTAAGTTTCTGTCCTTTTACCACACTCAGACAACTTGCCTACTCTCTTGGTTTCATCATCCAATAGATAAATTTCAATTCTGCATCAGTAGTCCTAGACTCTTACCTTTTCTTGTTATCTCTAAAATACATGCTACTTTATTCTGTCAAAATCCAAATTAGTTTTTCTTCCTCCCAGTGTGTGTGTGTACCCCTGGGTGGTACAAACAGTTAACGCAGTTGGCTTCTAACCAAAAAGTTGGTGGTTTGAGTCTGCCCAGAGGTGCCTCAGAAGAAAGGCCTAGCAATCTACTTCTGAAAAATCAGCCATTGAAAACCCTACAGAGCACAGTCCTAGTCTGACACACGAGGTCACCATGAGTCACAATCAACTTGACAGCAACTGGTTTGGTATTTAAAAAAAAAAATGTGTGTGTGTGTGTGTAAATGTGTATATATATTTAAGTAGGTAACCCACTGCTGTTGAATTGATTCCAACTCATAGTGACCCTGTAGGACAGAGTAGAACAGCCTCATAGGATTGCCAAGGCTGTAAATCTTTACAGAAGCAGACTGCCACATCTTTTTCCAGCAGAGCAGCTCGTGGGTTCGAATTGCTGAGCTTTTGGTTAGCAGCCCAATGCTTTAATATAAATATGTACACACACACACACACACACACACACACACACACACACACACACACACACATATATGGAGCCCTGGTGGCACAATGGTTAAGTGAAAGGTTAATGGTTTGAATCCACTCAGAAGTTTTGCAGGAGAAAGACCTGGGGCAGTTCTACACTGTCATATGGGGTTACTATGAGTTGAAAATCAACCTGATGGCACCTAACAACTAACAGGAGCCCTGGTGGCACAATGGTTAAGAGCTGGGCTGCTAACCAAAAGATTGGCAGTTCGAATCTACCAGCTGCTCCTTGGAAACCCTATGGGGCAGTTCTACTGTGTCCTATAGGGTCACTGTGAGTCAAAATCAACTCAACAGCACATAACAACAACAACAACTAACAACATATATATATACATATACATTATATATATACATACATATATATTCTATTCCTTTAGCACAGAAGCTTAGGTTCAACTCACATTTTTCCAGCATCTCCTAGTTCTTTCTAATCAGCCATCAAGTCCTGCAGATTCTTCTTCATCAAAAACAATTCCAGACTCATGACTTCACAACTGAATTACTGCACTAGCATCCTTAGTAACTTTCCTCTGTCCTCCGGTTTCTCCCTGCTCTAGTACACATTACTTAAGTAAACCAGAATGTAAGCTCCATGGGGCAGGCACTATGTCTTTACTCAACTCTGTGTTCCTAAGACCTAGTACATTGCCTTGTTCTCAAAAACTTTTCTCAAAGACTATTTTTCCTTTTAACCCTCTGCTTAAGGGGTCCCCTCTTGTCTGGCAAGTCAAATGTAAACCCCCTATAGCTGGCATTCCATCGATTTCCCCAGGCACTTACTACTCTTCATCAGAGCTCATAAATCCCTGGTGAAGACTATCTGGCTTATCCTTTCCTACATGGGCCTTGATAATACCACCTTTGTTCCTGTAGTTCTACCTTCTTGGAACATCCCCCGGTTAACTTCCTCCAAAACTCATGCCCTCCAAGGAAGTTAACTGGAACTATGTAATGGAGTAGTTCCAATTATTATCTCAAATTTACTTATGGGAAAACTGAGGTAGAGTCTACATTTAAGTAGCATGCCCAAAGTAAACAGTTTGGTACCAGGAACTTGAACCCCGGCAGTTTGGCTGGGTAGACGGGGCAGCATTTCATTCTGTTGAACATAGGATCCCTATGAGTAGCAACTAATTCAGTGGCACCTAACAACAACAATGGTCTGGCTCCAGAGCTCACATACTCAACCACTATTCTATGGCTACACCTGGGGTAGGAATAATATCTCTTGTTCTCTTCCCACAAACAGATATTGTGTTAAGACGAATGTGTTTTAGAAAGAAATCACATTTTATTACATTTTGGAGTAAAAAATACTTTAGCAAATACAAATGAAATGCTGCAATAAAAAAATCTAGAGACTCTCTTAATGATTTAAAAGTATGCCACTGGAAATATATCTAAGATATATCATTATGTGACAAAGGCAAGTTGCAAAGTAGAGTATATAACAGACATTTCTTTCTAAAGTCATAAAATAAGATAGTATATGCACAAAAAAAATCTGGACACCAAACTCATCGTAGTAGTTATCTCTGAAAAGCAGGATTATGGGGACTTTCACTTTTGATATATCTTTCCATAATATTTGAACTTATAAATAACATACATGTGTTATATTTGTAGGCACAAAGTAGGACAAAATTTATTTAAAGATGCTCATCTTCTTTATTAATACATTTTCAGGTACTCTCATTACATTGGAAATGATTTTTAAGTGATTCATGGCAGATGAAATGAAACTGCTTATTTTAAACCTTCTTTAAGAAAAAAACACTTACTAAATTTTAGAAAAAATATGTTATCTTTCATATTTACTAATTTCATTTAGGTGTACCCATATGTAAAAGTTTCATTTTTAATAAATAACTGAGAAATTATTTTTGACAAACTAATAATCAAGGGCATAACATTCATTCTTATCTTAGATTAAAAAAAGGTAACTATGGAACTTTAAAAGGAATCAGAGTTCATTCCCTTCACCTCATAGATAAAGAAAGCTCAGAAAAGCAAGGAATTTGCTTCAGACTCATAGCTAACTAACGGCAGAATTAACATGAGAACCTTTCCTTCACATATCATACTATTTCTATCTGATATGAAATAATTAAGAGCAGCCTTATTCCAATTAATTTGAACAGTTATGATTCAAGTCTTCTAGTTACATAAAGGTCTACTTTCATATTGCATTTAGAGTTGAGCAGCTGTACAATCATCTTTTAAAATGGACAAAAGTTCTAAAAATTTAACCAAATAAATATAATTTTTTGATGCTACATTGTTTTATTAATTTTTTTTACAGTGATTCCCCCTCAATGGAATTTTAGAGTCATTATATAATTAAGATCATTTTCAAATGATCTTCAGGTAGTTTTCAAATTCAGGAAATTTAGCACTGGTTCAATACTATTATTTAAATAGCCAGTCCATATTTGAATTCGCCCCCAAAGTCTTCATAGCAATTTATTTTTGGCTTCATGACCCAGTCCAGGACCACACATTGCATTTAGCTGGCATGTCTCTTTAGTCTCCTTTAATTTGGAATAGTTAGTTCCTCAGCATTCCTTTGTGTTTTATGATATTGATCTTTTTTGAAGAATACAGGTCTGTTGTTTTGTGGTATTTAAATTTTACTTGATATGAGTTGAAAGCTATCCTTAATTTAAAAGACAAGTCTTCCAATAATATAAAAAAGAATACTTGCTATTTTACTGGAAAGATACAAAAACACAATCCATTTGCAGAAAAGATAAATAACTAACCTATCATGAAAAAGTATACCGTCACCACCATGAGCTTGTTCACAGAATTTAAAAGTATGAATAAGGACATAAAACATCAATTTCTAATAGCCTGTTCAGCCTGGTGTTTTTTTTGAGTAGGTTATTTCTATACTTATACATCTATACTTACTGGGAAGATAATCAGTACTTTTTATTTTAATAAGGGTGTTGAGGTTCTATTATGCAAAAAAATATCATGGCCTTTGTGAATCTCAATGTGCTTTATCAATGTGCTATTACCCTCAAGTGGTAATCATTTTATTTTATTCATTTTTGTTTAATTGAATTTATCAATAAAATAGTTGAATTAAAAAGCCAGTTATACTGTTTCTACTTGGGTGGTCACATGTCTAGATAAACTCAGTGATGCAGAGTAAACTATGGGACTTCTTCTTGCCTCTGCATGTGCGCTGAGTCAATTTGGACTAATAGTGACCTTATAGAACAGAGTAGAACTGCCCCATATGGTTTCCTAGGCTATAATGTTTATAGGAACAGATCTCCAGGTCTTTTCTCCCAGAGTGGTTAGTGGGTTCGAACTGCCAATATTTCGGTTAGCAGCTGAATGTTTAACCACTGAGCCACCAGGGCTCCTTGCTTCCTGTTTAAGAAGGAAATATTGAAAAAACCAAGCTGACACATGCAAAGCTTTTTGTAGTCTTTTGAAGCACCTTAGAAATAGCATCATTATCTCATTTATGTTAAATTAGGCAACCAAACAACTGAGACATTGTTACAGACCACAGGAGACTGGAGAGACATGACAAGTAAATGCAATATGGTACCTTTTGTTTGGATCCTGGAGCAGAAAGAGCACACCAACGGAAACACTGGTGAAATCTAAAAATCTGGAATTTAGTTATTTGTAATGCACTGGTATTGCTTCTTAGTTCTGACAAATACACTATGGTAATGTAAGATGTTAACAACGGAGGAAGCTGGGTAAAGGGTATACAAGCACTCTCTGCTATCTTTTCAAATTTCCTGTAAAACTGGAATTATTCCAAAGTAAAAAGTTTATTTAAAAAAATGGCCATTTGCTTGAGCCATTTAAAAACAGTAATAAAAATGTATAATAATGAATCAAATATTTTTGTTTGGTACTTACCTTGGATGTCGTTGTCTATTACACCTTGTGATACAAAGATAGTAACCAAGTAATCCAAAGATAACCAAAAATACTCCAGCAGCAATTAATCCAGTCAAAAGGCCCATAACATCGATTTTCTGTCTGTTATCATCTTAAGAGAAATTATTAAAATAACAATTATAACAACTGAAAAGCACCACATGTGGTTTCAATACATTTAACACTGGGTCTAAGCACACTATTAAGCACTTAATAATTAATACTGATTTCTTTAAAAAGTCTTTGTGCTAGAGACATAACCTGAGAAATTTTTAAATGATACTTCCTGAAAGCCCTAGTTATGATAATTAATTTTTTCATTTATTTTAAAAAGGTCGTATTAAATGGATAATATTCAACACTGAGTGGGATAGATCTATTTTTTGTTCAACTGGACCCATTTGATAATAATATTAAGACAAATTTGTTAAACAACTTCAGTGTAGCTATATAATACAATCTCCCTTATAGCTGGAGCCCCACCTAAGGGGAATAAAAGAATAGCTGGCAAAAAAAGAAAAACAAAACAAAAACAAAAAACACCCAACTAGAGATGATCAATCCAGATAAGATAAAGGATCTCCCTTTTCTAGAAGTTACTTAATTCTATCCAACTATCTTAATTTACCTAGTATAAGCATCTCCTTCACTTGTAATGGTAAAAAGTAGAACTAAAAAGTTAAAAAAGAGTTTACTACTTGAAACTAATTGAGTCCTACTTATATTCTGTGCAAGTCTTGACTTAGCTGAGTTGTTTAAAACAGCTTTAAGCCTATTATCTCATTTCCCTAGTATCTCACCAAACTTGATTTTCAGTGTGCAAATAGATGAATACGGCCTTTTCTGTCTTAGATAGCCCAGTGTATAATTAAGAAGTTCTCTTTGGATTTACAAAGTGTGTATACTGAGCAACAACCAAACTCAAACAGTAAGATTAAATGTAATATAATAGAGAGAGGGTGAGAAAAACATTAAATTTGATCAATTCTTGCCTTACTTGATTTTGTTGTTGGTCCTTTAACTGAATATTCCTGCCAAAATGTCATCTGTGAAAAAGGTAAAATTTCCAAGTTTATTTCTTTATTATTATTTTATTTGATCTCAATGACCACGACCAGAAGTGGTAAACTCTTGGCATGTGCCACAGGTAGGATACCAGTTTATTCAAGCTAGAGGGTGTGACTCATTCCAATTAAAGTACCACCACCCACCACTGCCTATGCCTTCTCTGGAATTGGTCTGGGGACTACTGCCAGTCCCAACTCTCTGTTTTTATATCCTGTTATTCTCTCCACTCAGGCATCACTTTTCCCTCCAGAAAATTATTTTTCCAATAAATGACAAGTTAGACTATTCTATTTCTAAAGATTTGGTTCCCTATTATCCTGACTGAGAATAATTAGTGTGGAATAATGGAAAACATCACATTAGAGAGGGTTGACGAAAGTACCAAAGGTGGAAGTTGAGGCTGTGGACCTATTACCATGTTCCCCAATGACTAGGAGTCCAAAGTTTTCTACATTAGGTAGGCCTTCAGTTTGCCAGATTTTATTGAAAGATATTTATTGATTTATAAAAACAACCTGAGACAGCTCTAAATTCAGTTTTACTTGAGAGAATAAAAGCTGTTTTTAAGGAACCATTATAAAATTAGACAATGGATTGTGGAAAAGCAGAATAAAATCCCAAGAGGCACAACTACAAAGTTTGCTTGGTTTTCCCTCTCTAATAGATGTGGCAAATACTTGTAAGGTATTTTCTATGGTAGAGTGAAGAATTTGGTTCCATTGTATCAGCGTATCTGCATTTAGAGAAAGATACCTAGAGAGGTCTTTTTGACCAAAGAGTAAAGTGGGACTCTTTTTTTTTAATTTTTCTTTTTTTTTTTTAATTGTGCTTTAAGTGAAAGTGTACAATTCAAGTTAGTTTCTCATACAAAAATTTATACATTCATTGTTACGTGACCTAGCTGCTCTCCCTGTACTGTGACAGCACACTCCTCCTTTCCAGCCTGGATTTCCCATGTCCATTCAGCCAGCTCCTGACCTTCTGCATTCTCATCTAGCCTCTGGACAGGAGCTGCCCATTTAGTCTCATGTATTTACTTGAGCTAAGAAGCACTCTCTTCACGAGTATCATTTTATGTCCCATAGTCCAGTCTAATCTTTGTCTGAGGAGTTGGCCTTGGGAATGATTTTAGCTTTGGGCTAATAGGGAGTCTGGAGGCCATGTCCTTCCGCGGTCCCTCCAGTCTCAGTCAAACCATTAAGTCTGGTCTTTATACCAGATAAAATGGGACTCTTGAGGAAGGGAAAAAAGAGCTGGGGATACTTAATGTACAAAAGTAAAAATTTGGGGTCATTTAACATTCTTCAAGAATATACCAGATTATAATAGGGACAGTGCCACCTATCTGTTTTTTACCGCAACAAGATTAATGATACGATTTAATTACATTTTAAGTAAATTAAACAGATATACCAAATGATAAATTCCTGGAAAGCAAGGGCTATATATTTTGTATTCTCAGTACCTAGCAGAATGCCTGGCACATAACAGGTTGTCAATAAATGCTTGAGATATAAATGCAGGTAATTAAAAAAGGTAACGTCATTTCTACCCGAGGAGAAGCTTTATGGTTCTTCAGATAGAAGTGCTCTGGGTGGCACAAACACTTAAGTGCTTGACTACTAACCAAAAGGCTGGTGGTTCCAACCCACTCAGAGGTGAGGCTGCCCCCTTGAAAACCTTAAAGAGCAGTTCTACTCGGCACACATGGGATCACCATGAGTTAGAATCAACTTGACTCAACGTACAAATTCAGCAAATCTGCCTAAGTCAGAGGACTAGCTCAAATATTATTTGAAGTTTAATTTACTCTACATCATAATTGTTTTTTAATATAATAGATATTAAACACACAAAACTCACAACACAGTCAATAATATGCTAATTACTGTAAGCTCAGTTAATTAAGTATAAAACCAGATCTAAATAGATTAATAAGTATTTTAAGGAACTAGAAAGAGGTAACAGGTAGCCAGCCCTGATTTTGTTTAAAATATAAAAGTGTGACTGAAAGTGTCACTTTACTTAAGTACAATTTAATAATTTTCCAGCCAATTTAACATAATCAACCAAATTACCGTTTTGTCTTCATCCACAAAAATCTCTCTAGCTTCCTCATAATTACAAAGCTCTTCATTGCACTCTCTTTCTAGGTCACCGGGAGTGAAGAGTTCCAAATCAAATCTATTATATAGGAGGCGTCGATGTATGAAAAAGTTGGCTTCTTCTTTGGATGTGAAGACTAATAAAGAAATAAAAATATTTCAGATATTGATAAAAGAGAAAATTCATTTTAAGTGTACAAAAAGTGAATAGTTCTCTTGATGTGGATAAATTTCTACTGAATATGAAATACAAATATTAGCATAATTCCTGAGCATACTTGATTATGTCCAAAAATATTAGCGTAAATGAAAATTATTTAAACATCACTTTTCGCTCTAGATAATTATTTTTCCTACACAGTCATATGCTGCATAAGGTCCACTGGGGTAATGTCCAACTGCATATATGTCCATGGTCCCAACCCCCGTAAAGCTTATTGTATTAAAAATTCGAGGTGCATACAATGATTCGTAATAACAAAAGGGTACTGCTTTGTGACGTGTGTTAAAACGTTATTACTGTATTATTATGTTAAAGATGTTTTAGTGTATCTGGAAGTGTTTCTTTAATGTTTTTTTATTCACAGATAGGTACGCTATATACTAAGACAAACATCTGACTGACGTTAGATACGAACCGTACCTCATGGATCTGATTTACAAATTTGACTTACAGACTGACATAGGAATGGAACTCATTATAATCCAGGGACTGCCCGTATATGACACGGTGTTCATACAATGTCCAAATCACATAATGTTCTATTTCACAGAACATATGGTGGACATTAAGCAATGCGTAACTGTAAATGACACGTTAGACTATTCTATTTCTAAAGGGTTCGTTCCCTATTATCCTGACTGATAATAATTAGTGTGGAGTAATGGAAAGAGTATTGGACTGAGAATTAGAAGGCAGGGATTCTTAATTTTGATTTGACTTAGCTACTTGCTATATATCCTAGGATAAGGCACTTATCTCTCGGGTTTGCCATTTCTTCATTTGTGGTAAAATATAGGAATTGAACTAAATGATCATTAAGATCTTTTTAAGTTCTAAAGTTATAAACTAATACACTTATATTAAAAATTTTATATTGAAGTTTATAAATAAAATTGTAAGTTAATTATAAGATTAATTAAAAGACATTCAGCCCTTGCTAAAGGAGTAGTTCCCTGCTCCTCTACCTCCAAATACGAGTCTACAAAGCTTTGCTAGACTCCCTCTACATTTGCTGGGAAGGTAAATGGTAAATGACAGGTTGAAGCACAGGTTGACACAAAACCAAAACATCCCACCATGGCAGTATTTAAAAAATAACCCACAAATGTCAAACTTGTTATGATGCCACACAAACAATGCTTAAGTGATTTTGCTTCAGAGTACATGACTGAGATTGGAATTCAGAAGCTCTCTTCTCTATCCATCAAAAGCATAACAGAATCTAAAAGTCTTGGTATTTCTCACTGCTAACTTTTACTAAAGGAAGAATATATTAAAGTGGGCAACTGAAAAACAGCTCAAGACTGCTGAGAGAGCATGTCTTGGAAGATTAATGCTGATATATGAGTGACCTCAGGTTGCCATTTATTCTAAGCCCTCTGAGAACAGCCACGTCATGTCCAAGATGTTTTATTTTATTTTTTCCTACTAATTAATGATCTTTCCAAATAGTTTTGAATCTTTTAGAGCTGTTTTGTCCAATACAGTAGCTGTTGGCTATATACGGCTATTGAGCACTTGAAATGTGGCTAGTCCAAATTAAGATGCGCTATCAACTCCACGGCAACTAACAACGTACTTTCTGTGTAAGATGTGCTGTAAAATACACACCAAACTTCAAAGATTTTGTATGGAAAAGGTGCCTTGGTGGCACAATGGTTAAGCACTCAGCTGCTAAGCAAAAGATCAGAGGTTCAAACCCATCCAGTGCCTCCCTGGGAGTAAAGACCTGGCCTATAAAGATTTCAGTCTAGGAAACCCTAGGAGGTAGTTCTACTGGCATATAGAGAAGTTATGAGTCGGAATCAATGGCACACAACAACAGTATGGCAAAAAGAATGTTAAATATCTCATAAGTAATGTTTTATATTGATTACATGTCGAAATGATGGTATTTCGGGGTAAATTAAATACACTATTAAAATTAATTTCACTTATATCTTTTTACCTTTTTTAATGTGGTAACTAGAAAATTTTAAGTTATTTATGTGGCTCACATTGTATTTCTATCGGCCAGTGCTGTTCTAGAGTGTCAGTTTCTATATTATAAATAACATATAAACGCTATTTGAACGAAAGGAGGAAGGTGGAATGGGATAATTGGAGATAGCTGTTTTAAGAAATATTCTAAAAGGAGGCTAGAGGGATTAGTGTGATGAAATATATCTGTTACCTTTCCTCTACTCCCAATCAGTAAAGCACAACCAGGCAACTCAACAGTACTACCGGTTCTACCTTCAAAATACAGCAGGAATCCAACCACTTTTCAGGACCTCCGCCACAGCCATCCGGCCATCCCTGCCCAAGCCCCCATCATCTCTCACCTGGATTCCTGAAATGGCCTTCTAAATGGTCTCCTTGCTCCCCTTACAGTCGTTTTAAATGTGACAGCCAGAGTGATTCTTTTAAAAGGTAAGTCAGACTATGTTCCTGCTTTTTAAAAACCTTCTAGTAGCAATCCTATCTCCCTTGGAGTAAAAGCCAAAGTACTTACAATGACCTACAGGCCCTATATAATCTGACTCCCAACTCTTTTTTTCTTAATAATGTTTTATTGAGTTTTTGGTGAATGTTTACAGAGCAAGTTAGGTTCCCATTTGACAATTTCCACACAAATTGTTCAGTGACATTAGTTACATTTACCACAATGTGTCAACGTTCTCTTTGTGTTGTCCGTTCCCTTTCCTGTACTCTAGCTTCCCTGTCCCCTTATCTTCTCATCTTTGCTTTTGAGTAATTGTTGAGCCAACCCCTTATCTTTCTGACCTCATCTCCTGTCATTTTCCCTGACACACTCTGTTGTAACTACACTCTGTACATACTCTATTGCAACCAACAAGCCCAGTTCTCTCCTGCCTTTCTACTTGCTGTTTCCTCTGATTGGAAATCTCTTCTTTCAGTTGTCTCCCTCGCCTTTTTCAGGATTTGTTCAATGTTATCTTCTCAGTGAGGACCTCCCTGACAGCAACTGTTGTCTCACCCACCTCTGGTGCTCCCGCCCACTTCCATACTTTACTTTTCTCCATAACACTCATCACCATCTCAAGTTCTATATGCTTTACTTACTTGTTACTACTCTGTTACACTGACTACAAGGGAAGTCCCACAAAAGCAGGGATGTTGGTACGTAACAGGTGTTCAAAAATTGCTTACTGACTAAATCAATGAACTCAACTTTACTACAGTGGGAAGGACCTAACCTCTTTCAGTTGAGGCAATTCATAGGTGTAGTCTCATGTCTTTTGGCTTGGCATAGGTTTAAAGTACTAAACCACAGCCTGCCTAACTTAGCTGTACTTAGTGCATGAAATCTAATTTTAGAATGGAGAATTAGAAAGCCACTCTGTCTTGCTACTTCTCAGATATACTCAGATTCTTACATTTTATTGGCTAAAAAAGCAATAAAAGTTTTCCATTCAAGTCTGTCATCTGAGTTATAAAAATACCCTCCCCCATGGGACTCAATAAAGCTACTGTCAACTTGAAGGGAAAATAAAAGACAGCCATAAGCATTTTTAGTTTTCTCCAAATGATATTTATGCCAAAAAATGTCCCTACCCCTGTATAAAATGTATCTTCCAAGGGCTGCTCTTTGTCACTTCTCTTGAGTGTGAAAGTTGTGATTGTATCAGTGGTTGACCTTAGACTTCATTCTTCAGTGTCAGGTCAAACTTTTTCCTGCCTTCCTTATGATCTCAAGAGAAAAATTGCCCTTTGCTATCTGGGTTCTTAGTAACTCTGAATTTGCTTCTACTGGAAAAGAAGCAACTTTCTCTGCTCCTAGGGCTTCCTTGGCTTCTATGGAGTGCTCCTATTTTCCCCGTGGTGTTCGCTGAAGGATACGCTGGTCTTTGCACTTTTTAACCTGGCTCCTCTGACTCTCTTCCTATCTCCATTTTTTCCTGTCTTAGATTTTCCTGAGAGGCTGTCTATGTATTCTGTTCTTTCAAATCCACCAGCCCAGACAGTCCATTCTCATCTTCTCCCCGTCTCCTCATGTTTTCTAAATAAGCTTCTTTTAAGTCATTTTAGCTCCACCCTTGGGCTTTATCAAAATATAGCCCAGGATCCCTTCTTTTCCCAGTTACCTTTCATATCTCCACTTATTATATTCCATTTGTAGGCAGAGAGTACTGGCTTCTGTGTCATACAACTCTCCCAAGGTTACTTCTACTTACTTTTTCCTCTACTCTCAGAGCGCTCTGTTCCCACCTCTGTTATAGAATTTATGCAGTTTATCTGTTTACAACCTGCCTCCCCCACCAGATGAAGAGGTCCTCTAGGGCAGGGATTACCACTTTCATTTCTACGTCTCCAGGACCCAGCATAGGGCCCAGCACATAGTATGTGTCCATAAAATGGTTACTAAATGAACAAATCAGCTTTTCACATATGTAGGATCCCTTGTCACAGTTATCTCTAGCCCTCCCCACTCAAGTATGACCTCTAAATTCCTTCCATATTTTGTGATGTCCTGGGAGTGTCTTTTGTGCTTGTAGCATGTGAATGAATGACTATAGCCACAATCATTTTGGGGAGCAGTATCTAGTCCTACTGAATATGAGCCATCAACTTATATATGAGTGGATGTATATATTGTGCCACTTTGGAGGTATCAAGAAGGATCCCCTTCCAAAATGTCTCCTTGTCCCACTAACTAGCCTATCCAATTGCCTAGTTCTACCATCAGTGTTTAATTCTTTTGTGTTAAAGGTATTGTCTTATCTTAAAACACACACACTCCAGGAGGTCTAACACACTAAGCTGTATTAATCATTAATAAGTCAGCCAGGAGTATCAGTGCAACAGATCCTTCCAAATGAAAATGAGCTGAGACTAGAATCTGATGAAGAGGGGATAATGGACAGGAACGTGTGGAGAGGTAGATCCAGCATGCTGGCACTGGGCAAACAAGCACAACAACTAAAAAGGGAGAAGGAACTGAGATCTAAAAGCCTTTTTTCTTTTCTGGTTTTTCTAACTTAGGCTTTTAAAATGTGGGGCTCAAGTTCCAGATGCTGGAACTAGTCTGTTCGTGAAGTGGAACCCACAAGGTTTGGACTTCTAGGTTAGCCAGTCCCAAAATCTATGCTTCTCTCAACCTCTGCCTTAATCCAGATGATCAAAGTTTGGACATTTTAAAGCCAAAAGGACCTCTGAGATCTTTCTGCTCCCCAGCCCCATCATTTTACAAATGAGGAAATTCAAACCCAAAGGGATCAAGTAATTTGCCCAGGGTCTCACAACAAGTCCAGGCTAGATCCCCATTCCCTGTCTACCTTTTCAAGAAGAATAAGTAATTATGTTCATTATAATTACCACACAGCCTCACCAAACAAACAAACAAACAAACAAAAAAACAAAAACAAAAACAAAAACCGGCACTCACTGATTTTTCAGAAGTTGAAATAGCTTTCCATTCACTTAACCACAAACCAGGTCTTAATGCATAGTTATCAAAGGAAACTCACAGAAATAAATTCGTATCAACTGTAGTTTAAAAAACACAAAAAACTACATTACCAAACAAACTACAAATTAAACTAAAGGCTATTTTAGTGTATCTATGATTGATAAGAGCATGTAATTTCAAATACTACAATTTCTCGCTTGAGATCTGCAATACGCAACTTCGGTTTCCAGGAGGTTTATCTTCGAAACTGAAACCGTGCTTACCTTCTTCTTTCGCATGCCCGGAATCCGCTGGACTTCTTGTGCAATGAGGAAATCCGAAGGTAACTATGGACAGGTGGCTGAGTAGAATCAGAAGTTTAAACATGGTCTGGCAACTGTCAAACAAACTAAAACAAAAAACACGTCAAAAAAGCCCCTAGCTCAGCACTTCGAGTTTCTGTGAGATTTGAGTCACCAACCTGTTGTGCTCAAAGCCACAGCGCGACTGCGCCCCGCGCCGGTTTCGGCCTCCAAGGACCTACTCGCACTTGGAAAGCGGGCCCTCAAGAATGCCTGGGGACAAATGCCGTGCCCCGGAAGTCAGCCAACAACCGAGTAGACGACCCTCCGCTTTGCGCTAGAATCAGGCCGCGTGAGCCCGGCGCGGCCCCAAGGACGCCCCCTCCGAGGAACCCCTTCCCCGCCAAGCCCGCACCTGCAGCCCCGGGCACATGTTTCTGCAGCCCCCGGGCCGGAGCCCCGTTGTTGGGTGGTCCCTGCGGTCGCCAGGCCCTCCGTCTCAGGCGCACCCCAAATCTCGGCGACGCTCCGGGCCTGGTTCTCCGTAGACCCGGGGTGACCCCGCCCTCAGGCCAGGGAAGCGCCTGCCGTCCGCAGAGGGGCGCCGAGCCGGCCTGGGGACGCGCGCAGTCCGAGTTGCTGCCAGGCTCCTAGGAGGCCGCCGAGCAAAGCCGAGGGAGAGGAGGAGACGGCTACCTGGAGAGAGCACCTGGCCGCGCCCGCCCCGCCCCGCTCCTCCTCCCGGGCCGGCCTACCTGCGGCGAGCCGGCCGTGGGGTGGTGTCTCCGGGCGCCTACGCTTCGCTCTCGCAGCCACGTGGGTTCTGCGCGGAGCTCTGGGCCAGCCTGCCACCCCGCTGCCAGCTCCCGCCCCACCTTGGCGGAGAAGGTGGCCGGTTTGGGATTTGTTTCTAGACTCGGCGAATTCAGGCGAGCATTTTCGGTTCTCAAGGCTAAGCAGAGTGCCCTCGGCGTGTCCCGAGCTTTTTGATTTGGGTTCCATTCGCTAGGCGTCTTGCGATCGCCTCAGGTCAGTGGTTCTCAAAGTGTAGTCCGAGGACAGGAACAAAATATTCAAAGTGTTACAGTCTCAAACTCAAATACACTTTTTTAGTACTGTAATATGAAATGGAACGGGACATTAGTCTATTTGATTGGAGTTCAACCTGGGGCATGTCTCCAAGATGCTTTCAGAAGGTCTCCGAGGTCAAAACGACTTCCGATACGGTAATAATATATGATTTGCTTTTTTTCATTCTCATTGTCTCATGAGTGTACGGTGATTTCCAGAGGCTATTTGACATGTAATGATGAGTAAAATGCCTGCATGTGCATTCTTGTGTTTTCTAGTATTTTCGATGCTTGTAGGTTTAGGGGATCCCTGGGTGGTGCAAACTGTTAGCTCTTGGCTACTGTCTCAGTTATCTAGTGCTGCTATAACAAAAATACCCCAAGTAGGGGGATTTAACAAACAGGAATTTATTTTCTCGAAGTTAGGAGGCTAGAAGTCCAAATTCAGGCCCTAGGGGAAGGCTTATCTCTCTGTGTCAGCTCTGGAGGAAAGCCCTTGTCTCATCTGTTCCTCTGAGATCTTCATGTGGCTTGGCATCTATCTTCCCCCGTCTCCGCTTTTTCTTTATGCCTAATCTGCTCTTTTTATATCTCAAAAGAGACTGAAAACACACCCCACACTAATACTGCCTCATTAACATACAAAGAAAATTCAGTCTCAAATGGGATTATAACCCCTTTATAAAGCGGTTAGGATTTACAACACATATATTTGGGGGGCACAAATCAATCTATAAGAGCTACCAAACTGCTAACCAAAAGGTCAGCAGTTTGAATCCACCCAGCTGCATGGCAGAAGAAAGACCCAGAGATCTGCTTCCATAAAGACTACAGCCAAGAAAACCCTATGGTGTCAGTTCTACTCTGTGACACAGGGTGGCCATGAGTTGGAATTGGCTGGACTTCAACTTTTTTTTTTTTTGGTAGTAGATTTAGAGTATCAATATGTACATTCTGTAGTGATTAGTCAGTTTGTTTTCAGTACTTCTGGGCTTTTTTTTACTAGATGTCTCTGGTTGTACTTACTAGGATAGTTGTAACCTCATTATCCTCCAATAAATAGTTATCTTGAAACACGGAAGTTTTCCTTGGGTGCATGTGGAAACACTACAAGTAAGAATATTTTGTTGTCTTGGTTCAAAATAATATTTTGAACATTTCTTAGTTTTAATATCTAATATGAAAAATAACAACAGATATGATCCACATAAACGAAAGCTCTTTGAGCCCTCTACAATTTTAAGGAATACAAAGAGTTCCCAATATCAAAGAGTTTGAAAACTGCTGTCTCAGGTAATAAAGGCAGCAGGTGGATAGAGGACCCATGTCAGGTGATGTTCGCATTCTTCCTTGTCCAAAAACGTGCTTAAAAAATGTTTGGAACATTATTTAAGGTTCCATGCTTTGCCCAGAGTGGCCTGGCGCTTGCTGGAAGCCAGAGGAAACTTTTTCCCTCCCTCAATTTTGACTAATTCAATTTTCACCAAATTCTTCTTTTCTTCTACAAAGGCTAGTGTCCATTTTATTTTAATTCCTTAGAATCAGCTGAACTCTTCCTAAATTTTTTGCAGAAATTATGATCTCACTGATTCCTTCTGAACAGTGCTTTTTTCTCTTCCCTTCTCCCTATCTCTTCCTCTTCACTTTCTGTCTGCCCACTTTGTGCTCTAACCTGTCTCTATCATGGTTCGTATTCTGTCCTCCTTAGTTTAAGCAATTGGGATCAGACCATGAAGAGCTAGAAATGATTTCTTGTGTTTGATATTCTAGAAGAGAGGAAACATCTTCACTAGAACACCATTCTTTTTTTATTCATTCAGTCAACCTACAGCGCCGAGCCCCAGGGGTATGGAGATGAACGCCACAGTCTCTGTTCTGGAGAACTTAATCTGGCTAAGATTTACGTCTAGTAATTTGGCCTTTAAGTTCTTATTAAGGGCAAGAGCTGATTTATTCATTGCTACATCCTCCACAATGCCTGGCAGAGTGCCCTCTATGCTGTATGTGCTCAATGCAGTTTTGTTGGGTGGAAACAATGTATTTTCAGGTGGTAAAAATGTTTCACACTATGTTGGGCAGAGACAAACTGTCAGATGTCTCATGGTCTAGAATCAGCAGATATGAACTTTGATGACATTCCTTGATGGAATTCATCCACCCACATATCTGGATATTTGAACCAAAACAAATGAGGCTTTGTGCTCATATCAAATATCAGCGTCTATAGACTGAGAAAGGAGCCCTGGTTGGTCCAGTGGCTAAGTGCCCGGCAGCTAACCGAAAGGTCAGAGGTTGGAACCCACCAGCCACTCTGCAGGAGAAAGATGTGGCAGTCTGCTTCTGTAAAGATTAAAAATAAAAACAAAAACCAAATCAGTTGCCAACAAGTGGATTCCAACTCATAGTGACCCTATAGGACAGAGTACAACTGTCCCATAGGGTTTCCAAAGCTGTGATCTCTACAGAAGCAGATTGCCATTATCTTTCTCATCATTCTCCCACAGAACAGCTGGTGGGTTCCAATCACTGACCTTTTGGTTAGCAGCCGAGTGCTTAACCACTGCACCACCAGGGCTTTGTCTATAAAGATTACAGCCTTAGAAACCCCATGGGGCAGTTCTACTCTGTCTTATAGGGTTGCTCTGAGTTGGAATCCATTCTACGGCAACGGGTTTATGGTACAGACTGAGAAGGGAGGCAGATACAGAAATGGAAGTCTAGTTCTCAGAGGTGAATCACCATAAAGAATATTACAGCATTTGGCAGTATGCACACAAACTTCCACCACTATGCAACTGTGAAGTGTTTTGTGGTTACATGGCAAACAGAGAAAAGAGAATAGCTAGTAACAACAGTGTTCAAGGTTGTTAATTTCTTCTATAATTTACTTGGTGTATTCATTTTCTTATGAGTCCCTGGTTGGCACAAATGGTTAAGTGCTTGACTGTGGGCTGAAAGGTTGGCAGTTCAGACAACATATTTTTTATTTTGTATCATTTGTTTTTAGAGTACCATTTCCACCATTTAAGTACCATTTATACCGTTTTAAACCCATATTATTATGCCTTTCTTCCAAAGCATTTAAGTGTACTCACTTATTCTAGTATTTGTCTTATTCTCCTGACACATCTGAGGAATTGAACTGGATATGATGATTCTTGTTTTACAAAGAGGGAAACTGAAGCATGCAGTAAAGGGACTTGAGTAGTCATTGACCAGATAGTAACCTTTCTCTTAACTCTTTCCTATGCCTTTTTGAGTTATTACCAAGCAATGGAGGGCAGTAGGCAAAGAATTATTTAATTTCAAAGGAAATAAAAAAAAATCAGAGCAATGAGATTAATGTACTTGGATTAATGTGATAACACATCTCTGAGTTTGAGCACATACCCGCCCACTTACCTGTGTGAATTCAAGAATGAAATGGAAACTCGCTTTATTGTGTGGGCGTGAGGCTTGACTCAAGGACTGTAACAGGAAATGTTAAGGTTGTGGCCATGAGTGTATATAATGTAAGATCACATCCACATCATTACGGACACGCTGATGAACATCATCATACTACTCCGTACAGGAGATGCTACTTTACTTAACTTGATGTTTCTGTGACATTTTAGCGTTGACATTTCAACAGCAACTGTTTGCTAGTTTAATTTAGCCCAGAAAAGTTAGCAGGTGGAAAGTGAAATACTCCTGCTGTTTAAGATTGATTATATGCTTGGTATGCAGATATTTTCAGATTCAACAAACAGGTAAAGGGTTAAAGATTTTATTAACATTTGCTGAAAACTCTAAGGAAACTTTTGACTAGAGCTCACATTTAATTCTATCAGTTAAGAGCACCAATTGTGAATAACAACAATTAAAAATACCAAGAAGAGTGTGAGAGGTCATCCAGCTTCATGTCACACTGTGGGTGGGTAGTAATAAGAGCTGCATTAATCCTTAAAAAAAGTAGTAATCCTTATAGCACTTACAGGGCATATAACAACTTGAATCATCTGAGCTGCCCCCAGGGGCCTGTGACAGGGTGTTGTGTCACAGCTTATCATAGAACTCTCACCCTGTGTTCAGATGTTGGTTTTCCTACAAC